AGGTACACCTGCCAGCATTCTTGAAACTTCATTTTTTGAAGATGAACTATCTTTTAAATATCCGTCAGCAACCGACGTACTCTTCCATCTACCATGGCGCTTCAACGTGGTCATACTGGCTCCCGCCTCTGCAAGAAGAGTTGCTGACGTTCGACGCATACAATGACCTGTATATTTCTCAGGATCACTTAAACCCAGATATTTCGTTATAATGGACGGGATTTTTCCAAACGTGTTTTTTCCTACTGGCTGTACAGTACATCGACCTTGTCTATAGGTCAGAAAAATTCTTTTTTCTGAGGAACCACGTGGCCGTAGTGACATATAATCTCTTATTAGCTTTAAACTGTTCATTTCGCCATCATCTATAATGGTAAAAATGCGTTTTTTATCGGTCATTGTCTCTGGTACATTTACCACAAAAACCGATTTTCTATCTTTTACATGAGTAACTAACATGTTCACAAGTTCTTGCCGTCAACATCCACCAAATATTCCAAATATTAATGCAACTTTGTTCATTAAAAACGTCTCGTAAATTTTAAAACATCTTCTCTAGACAGAATTTTAGACTTCTTTGGTTTGTAGCCTTCAAATATTCCGTTAACTTATGGTAATTAGCAATGTTAATATTTTTATTTACTATTAAAGTCTTCTTTACCATGGAATATTTGGACCACAAGGAACTCTGAGATCGCCGAAGTATCCAAGCAACACAGTTTCATTATCATCTTTTACGTAGTTTTCTTGCATCCAATTTAATAATTTTTCGTATTCCATGTCGTAAGCTTCTTTAGGACTTTTTTGGCAACAGATTTTCAGTTGCTTTCTTTACTTTTTAATAATTTCGTCAGGAATTCCAAAATCTTCGTTCATTTTGACTTCTAACTTTGACACATAAAAATTATTGTGATTTTATGACATTTACGTTTGTCAACATTCACCTAGCAACGATAAAATGGTAATTTTATTAATTCAAACCGGATTTTTTAAAATACTGATTTATATTGAGATTGGATTGCAATAACGAACTAGTATGACATAAAAGTTTGTATGTACCGCGGGCATAAACAGATGTGTATTCCCTCGGGCGACTTACAAACCCTCGGGCCAGAGGCCCTCGGGTTCTTAAGACGTCGCCCTCAGGGCATAAACATCTATGTATACCCTTGGTACATAAATAACTATTATTGCTACGTTGTTGTTTATATTATTTTGCTTGAATAATTTAAATTTATCCGCTCTATATTTTCTCTACTAAAACGATCACTTTATTAATGTTTTTATGATTTACAAATATAAATTGATATAGGCACCAAATCTGGCATTCCCCACTTCCACTACTATAGTTCGGGACACACTGAGAATGCAGTATGATCAGGCGTAGGCAATGTATTTCTAATGGGAGACTGACACAGTGTATTGCCTTCAATGATTGCCGTCTTTCCAATAGCTGTGATAGGGTCGACCCAGTAATAGTCAATGTCTCAATGTTATTAGAGCATATTCTTAGTTGCATACATAAGGACCGTTTGTCATTCATGATGTCTAATTGGATGACTATCTGCAGAAAGGAAGCAATCTACAAATTTCTATTTTTTAGACTTTCGAATAATATTGCATTAAGGGCCGATTCCACCGTTGTGTTAAACGGAGATTAAAATGACGTTGTTAATGTAAAAATGTCATTTTAAACTTCGTTTAACACAACGGTGGAATCGGTCCTAAGAACCATAACATTTACTACAAAAAAAGATTCAGGTTACATTCTGCTACCTAGCGTTATGTGTTAGCCAATGAAGTAACGGTATAAATTGGTTAAGCAAGAAACCTGCCTGCATAATAGAGAAAAGAGTTGGTGGCAGTACGTTATCTGGTTCTCTTGAGAGTGAGTGTGAAATATTAAAAATAAGAAAACGAATTTTCAAGACAAAAAATGAGTCGTTCGGCATTATTTAAAGACTTGCTAACACCCTGTGGCTTGACGGCTAAAAGTATAAAATGCAAAGATAGAGGACAAAAAATCTGTGATGTACTTAATTCTAAACGATTGTCTGCAATTTTATGAACATATAGAGTCATTATGAGACCAGTGAATCATTTTTTTTAAACTTATTATTTTGATAAAAAATGCAGCTATAATTCTGAAAAGTGTCAAAACACATTGGTACAGGAGTGGGATTCTACTTTCCTCTTTTCAATAATTTTGACAGACTCAACAAAATAGCTGAATTAGATATTTTTGCAATAAAGAATAAATTGTAAAACAAATAATGATAGTTTTTCAGTCAAAATACAAAGAAAATTAATAAGTTATTTTTAGTTCAACTTTGAGCTTGAATAACTTATAAGCAAGTGAATTTATCGAAAAAATTACTAAGAATTTTTTGTAGAACGTTAAATTTACTACAAAAATAATTGATTGCCGCAGCTTTGTATGAGCTGACTGAGGAACGAAAAAATTGATTGCAAAAATTACAAAAACCCCATGTTATTTAAACGGGAAATGAATTGCCTTTTTGGGTCATACACTAAAAATTTTAGGGGTGCTGCAAACTCAAAAATCAAATTATACCTCTTTTATAAGTATTTATAAGTAAAATGTAACTGGACATTCGGTTAATTGTTTATGTTCTCGTTTACGACGTTTATCTACATCATTCTTTGTTTTTATAGTAGTTAAAGCATTTTGTATTGGGTAGGTACCTAATGAATGAAATATTAAATTTACATCAGGCATTGTAATCTGAAACTAAGAAAATGGTTTAGAAAATCTTTTTATATTTTATAGAGGATCCTTACCAATTCTACTCAAATGTATAATAGTATATTATTAAACGAGCAATTTATGGTAGCCATTATTCACCCGAGTGAATCATGGCCATAAATTGCGAGTCTAATACTATACTTTGTCCACGACCATTATGGTTTCTTTATTAAATAAAAGTTAAGTGTAGAATGGAAAGTTTTTATTAAACATAGGTAACTAGCTGTTGTTCTTTCGATTTTTTTTTTGCGATTTTTCGATTTTTCGATTTTTTTCGATTTTTCGAATTTTTTCGATTTTTCGATTTTTTTCGATTTTTCGATTTTTTTTCGATTTTTCGATTACCTATAAAGAATATTTTCATATCAGTTTAGACATACGTGCTGTCATGACGTTATACCGTGACTAATGGATCATTATTCACTAGTGAATAATAGGTATTATTATTCTTAAGGAAGTACAAGTATAATGAATGTTTTATAGAACAGTCGTGGACAAAAATTATTTATTAAAAATTCTCCTAGTTAAAAAACAACCATCAAAAACATGACATATGACAAGAAAAGTGACAAGTGGCAATTGACATAAAGATAAACGTTCCGAATTCAGATTTTAGATGTTCATAGTACTTTTCGTGGATACTTTTTTTTAGCAAATTACTTTATTACGTTGTGTTAACATAACAGGTAGGTTAAATAGGTAAGTAACAAATAGAAGTTTTGCGAGGTTTTGATTTTCCTCAACAACTTCTCATAAACGTTGTATAGTAATGTTATTACGTTCCCTGAGTGGGGTATATAGGAATTACTTTTGGGGGGGGGGGGGGGCATACGAAAATAAAAATTTGCATTTAATTATATATTAGTATATATCTACTAAAAAAAAAAATACGTTACACTAAAAAGAGAACTGAAATTAAAATTGAATACAACTGTCAAAGTTATATCTTGCTTTAAAAATTAAGGTTTCTATTTTTCTTCGCGAAGTCGTCTACAACTTCGTCAATATTAATCTCAATGTTTCGATGTACTGACATTAAAGCAAGTCCTACTAGTCTATCTTCCCCTGTTCTATTTCTTACGTAAGTTTTTAATCTCTTGAGAGTCGAGAAACTCCTCTCTGAAGAAGCTGTGCTTACTGGCAGTACTGCTAACATAACTAATAATTTATTTATATTCGGAAACATATCTTCTACACACTTTTGTAGAGCCTCCACAGCAGTCCTTATTGGTTTTTCAAAGCTGGCACATTTCATCTGCCATAATTCGAATTCAGCACGCAACATTGATTCATTGTTAGTGTTTAGATCATCAGAGTATTTTTCAATTGCAGGCAATAAATGCTTAAACTCACTTGTCTTTGTATTAACCTGGGATTAACGTGTACAAAGACTTGATTATTTCTTCCTGTCCTAAAAAACGTTCCCCAAGTGAGCGTATTAGGTCTTCAATAATTGGAATAAATAGTGGAACTCTATAATACTGTTCTGCATTTTTAGCCTGATAATTCTCGCGATGCTTTTGTTTAGAGTCAGTGTTGGCGTTGGTCAAACTACGAATAGGACGCGTTCATAGTCATTTCCAGTAAAGCGGCTGTATATTATCATATTCATTATGCGCTGGGCACAAAAAACAAGCGAAAAAGCAGAAAATAGTGTAAAAATTTTATATTCTACGTAAAAAAAAATCGTTCGTTCGGGGGAGGCCCGGGCCCACCCCTTATATACGCCACTGCGTTCCCTTAAAGCAACATCGCCGAAAGGCCTGGCAACGTTATGTGCTAGCTGGAATAGAATCATAATAAGAATTAAAATACCTTCTTGGTATAAATTATACCAATCACAGTATCCGATTACATCTTTTTAATCCCATAAAAGCTCAAAGCAGATTAAAAACTGTTCACAACATACCTAAACTAACAAAAACGATAAAATATTTATCTTCTACGAACTCGCTTCCTTAATTTAATGTTTAAATGGCAATATAATAAATTACTGAGAACGACACCTGATACCTTATTACTAAATAACGTTCCAAATACTTGACGAAACTTCGGAAGTTTGAGCGCAACATATCCGGCGCATTCGGTTTAATAAAATTGAAGAGGTCTTAAGCGAAGCCGCTAGTATTACAACGAAACTCCACCTGATAAGAGCGCCTGAAAGCACCCTCAAAAACTCCGCGTATTATTTTTATCGTGAGATTTTTAAAAATGGATAAGGAGCCAAATTCAACAAACCCTTTGGACCATATGCCTGCAGATATATGGTTTATTTTACATCCACTTTTGCTAGGCGTTAATAATACAAAGCTCGACTTAAGACATCCACATTTAAAAGAATCGCTTAAGGACTATTATCTTTGGATTCTTCTTCTATACGGGGTACTAATATGTTTCGGTTTCATGAGTAATATTTTTGTTTCATGGTATATTACTCGGAAGAAGCTTTATAAAGACGAAACTTTTAGTTTTCTTTTGAATATTTTTATAAGTGATATGATTAAGTGTAGTGTTGTGTTGCCGTTGTCTTTGTACGTGTTGATGATAAGAAATTGGGTGCTTGGAGAGCTGTTATGTTCTATTTTACCAATGATACAAGTAAGCTATTAAAATTTAATATATTTTATGTAGTAGTGGTCGAAAGAACTTGCTTTAATTTTAAAAAGAAATTACCGTATGTATTTAAGTACCAAATCATACTGACAACTAAAAGAAAAGTAGTTTGAACAAGATTACATCGGTGTGTGTTTATTATGATGAAAGGCAAATACGCTGCTATTGGCTGAAATTACATTTAGCAACACCATATTATTTTCCTAATAAACATTTCTTTGATGAAAACAAATGCGTTGCTTGTTTTATAATATTGTCAGAAAGATGGCGTTCTATCATTTTAAAAAATTTTAGACTGTGTATTCGTCCCCATAATTTTATAAATTGTCTGCACCTGAAGATGGAAAAATTGTATTTTCCGAAACATATGTAGTGTGCTAAACAATAGAAAATAAAAACATTTGACCGATTAAACCAAGGAAAATTTTTATTTATATAAAACTAATCCAGAATGTTTCATTAATATTGAACATTAAAGAATAAGTAAATATAATGAGAATCGTGAACATTTTTTAAATCTTTATTTCCAAAACTTCATACTTATTCTTATTTTTATTACAAATTCTTTATTTGGCTTTAACCAACCAATATTTAATTGTATAAAGGGGTTGAGTTTCATTTGCTTGCTTACGTTGGATCTTCATTGAACCTGAAAAATAAAAAAAAATCATCAAACTTAGTACATATACAAAATGGCTTTCCACTAACAAAAACAAGAGTTGCATAATTGATTATGTTTAGTGAAAGTTTAAATATATTTTTTGTACCTCAAGGACTAAACATGCATTTTACTCCCTCATTTTATGGACCTAGGTGCCACTTTTACTCCCTTAGGACTAAAATATTTTAGTCCCAAAGGATTCAACAAGTTTAGTCCCGAAAACCAATAGAAACCACAGCAAGCTACTTTATTCGGGAGGTAATATAGCAAGACCTCTTTTATAAGCGAATAAATTTATCGATTTTCCCGAAAATACTTTTGTTTGAAACTTTGCATATATTTTTATTTATTAATATCACAATTATTAAAAACACAATTGATTACTATAAAACGTCAATTTGACATTTACTGTAATACCTACTTGATTTACGTATAATGTATTGCCTATATTCAAGGAAGATCTTAAGCACACACTTTTTTATTATTGCACGTTTACGTAAGTCCCATACTTTAGTAAAATTCTGCAATAATATTAGTATGTTAGTGTGGCACAACGGTAGAACGCCTGCCTTGTAAGCAGAGGACTCAGGTTCAAACCCCCGACCTAGTTTTTTAATTTTTCTTTTTTTTTTTCAATAACTTTTTATAATCATTAGTAATTGATTAAATAATCGTTATGAAATAATATGGAGTGTTTCTTTTCAAATAATTATCGTGTAAACTAAGTTTTAGTCTCCGCGGTACAAAAAAAATAGCGGATGTACCACGAGACTAAAGAGCGTTTTAATCCATCGAGTGATTAAAAGTGGCACTTTAGTCCCTTGGTCCATAATATACTATTTGTTAATTCTTACCACCATTTTGTAATTTTCGTCCTTCTTTAGCAAATTTTCTAGTTATTCCAGGTCAATTTCTGGCCTTACAGAATTCTTTTCATAGAAAGTGTTTATGTAATTTTGGTAACATTGTATTTTAGTTTCAATTGGCCATTAGTATTAACCATATTAATAAATTCATGGTGGCAATTAATATTGGGGATATCCTGTATTCTTGTAGGTCCTAAACATTTAAAATATAGTAATTTTTTTATTTTTATATAGAACACACGATGATTTTTAGTATTTATTTACCTATCCAATGAAGCGGTGCAATGACAACCTCGACCCAGAGACTTTTTATATATTGTTTAACCTCAACCTCAAGCGTGATCAAAAAATTTGTAGGTTATGTCATTCTTCTCTTCTATTAAGGTTGTGAATGTTTTTTGGCATGAACACTCAACATTAGAACGCTTGTTAGCGAATTATCAGATCGAAATCTGCGAAAAATTTATATAAGATATGTATATAAACGTATTTTTACATGTATCTGGTGTTAATTTTTACATAGAGGCATATAGAACGTTCTTAGAATATGAGGTACATGCTGGATATATGACTTTAAGTATCTTCTAAGAATGTTCTGTTATAGCACATGCCAAGTGTATACTTTTTAGAATATACTATTAAGGCACGTACTCAGTATATACTTTTTAGAATATATTTTAAAGCGCGTACTCAGTATATGCTTTCTAGACTATACTTTCAAAGAACATACTAGGTATGTTCTGAGAACATTCTAGAAAGTACATACCAAAAATAACATAAACAGAACGTTATTAGTATATTCATAGAACATTGATATTATGTGGGGTATTCTATAGTGTAAAACACTGAGAATGCAGACTGAAGTTTTATGAAGAGTGCCGTTGTCAGACGTTGCCAGCCATCGCTATGCTGGGATCGGCAAAAAAATCTCAAGCAAATTTCAACACTGTTTAAATTTTATCTTAAAATTTATATGTTCAATAATAAATAATAAACAATTAATTTCAAAATTACACATTTATAAGTTAACAAAGTGTAAACAATTTTATGCAATAGATAAGTCATTGTAAGTCATCGTCGAGGTCTAAAATCTCTCAGAAATGGCCCCAAAATTTACTCTCATAATGAGGTCACCAACGTTGTCTTGGAGATTATCAGCGACCCACAGTTTTTTCCATTTTCTCTCTGATATGTGCAACGCAATTTTGCAAGGTTTGTTCAGTGACATGTTCAAAAGCTACATCTGTCAATAAACGATTATCCTGTGACTGGAAATCAAAGTTGTTCATCCCTATATAACGCTTTACCTGGGTATCTATTCTCGAATATTAGGGAGTAGACATTTTGAGGGAAGAATGAGATAAAAATACAAATTTTTGCGTTGCAGATAAAGAAGAGAAACCAGTTTTCTATTCCCTCGAATTCAAGAATAGCTACCCTGATTCCATACCATCTCGTTCGGGTTAAGCTCGCAATAATATGGTGATATGTTCTAAATCTTATATTTTTCATATTGCTCTCTATATGCGTTGGCAATTTCAAGCAGCTCAGATTTTAAATAGGAGTTGTCAATTTTTTCAAACTGCAATTTTTTTATTTTGGGTTTATTCCATTAAGTAGGTGGAAAACTAAATTTACAACATCATAAAAATACACTTTAAAAAACCCCTACTAATAGCCAGAGACCTAAACACCAAAAATTCCGCGTTGGTAGGGGACCAGTCAGAGAGACGAAAACAAGAAGTAATAGGCTGGACAACACACAACGGACTTAAATAAAAAATAGATTCAGAAATAAAAGAAATAAAAGAATCTGGATTGACCTCACAATTACCAAAGACACACACATACAAGACTGGGGGTACATACGGAAGAAACACTAAGCGACCACGCCTACATTACGTACAAAATAATAACGGACACCAGGAGAAAGACATATGGGCCTAGACGAAAATTTTACGACTTTAACACCTTTGACATAACAAAAATAGAAACCGAAACCCAAACACTTGAATAGACAATAACACAATACCTTGACGAAACAGTACTCAAAATAACCAAAAATATCACAGGAATTATGGAAAAAATTATTAAACAAAAACAAACAAAAAAAAGATGAAAACACAAATATGGTGGAATAGAGAACTAGAAGAAGAAAAACAAAAGACAAACAGATACCGAAAAGTTTATCAAAACGAGACTAACGTACAACTCAGGGCTAGAAAACTAAACACATACAAGATACAACGCAGGATATACAAAAACCCAATAAAATCAACAACAACGCAATCAATCAGAGACTTACTGTCAACAAACGAACCTGATAATTCGTGGGACCTTGCGTACAATATAATTCGGACAAAACACACGACAGGACACTTAAAACTATACAGGGAGAAGACAGAACATGGACAGACAGTATTGAAAACACCATTGAACACTTACACGACAAATACTTTCCGACTGATAACTAGGGTTGTCAGATGCACGCTTTCGGCGTGGCAGCCACGCTTTTTGACTTGCCTGCACGCTTTTTATGCAAATTCCACGCTTTTTAAAAGCCGCAGAGGAATCAGATTTACACAAAAATAGACCGGGTAAAAGACCCTCGTTTGTACGAAAAATAATTGGAGGATCTTTTTTTTGTTTTTTTTTAAGAATGGTCACAAAATTTTGACCTGATTATATAAAATACGGATGGACTCATGGTTTGAGGCAATAGACGGGACAGACCAACTGGACGACAATGACTTAGTCCAAGCTTTCGCGGACGACCAGATCCTTATACTAACAGGCACTTTACTGACAAATTGAAGACAAATGGGCGATAATCTGGCATGCGTGCGAAGCTTGGGCAAAGACGAACAAACTGACATACAACAAGGCAAAGATAGAACTAATGTTTGTACCTCACAAACAGATAAGACCTTCACGAATTAAAATAGACGATGTAACCGTGACGATGAAGGATAGTCTGGTCTATCTTGGAGTGACCCTGGATGTCGGATCGCTCTGGATCGAACATTTCAGGAAAACCTGACAGAAAGGCCCAGACATATCAAATAAATTATTCCGAAACTGGAACCAAAAACAGGATATTTTAATATTCATATCTACAAATACTATATAGAGCATTTTTAAATTTTGATTTGTTTTCAGATATTACTGGGGTTTCCTGTAATTTAATTAAACCCTTTTGGATAATACTGATCTCAATGGCATGTCAAATTCCACTGAATTCGAATAAATTTGAAATTTACTGCTTCGAAACAGGTCATATTTTCAGGAAACTCTATCCATGGCTTCCGATGCCCGCATCAATTCATGAAGTTCTTATGCACAATAAATAAATATTTAGAAAAATGCATTTTACCAGTTGGTATTTGGGAGAAAAAGCATCAGAATCCTGAAACAAAATTTATAAACAAGACCAAGAATATCATGCCCGAAAAAATAGC